AAAAAAAAAAATACCCAAGGTAAAAAATAGCCTTTATTCATCTTTGACAACACCTGGTAGTAGCTAGGCCAGGACTATCATCTCTCATTAGCTTGTCCCCTGATCAGGAGGTTTCCACAGTGCAGGGTAAGAGACCTGGACCTTGGGCACCTGCTGGTGACAGTGGCTGCTAGAAGAGGTGGCGGAAGGAGCCCTTCTCCCAGGAATTTATCCCTACAACACCCAGCCCTGTTCTCGAAAGTGTTACCTCTGGACATGATGAGGGAGGGGATGAGAAGTTTCTCATAAAGGAGTTGAGTGGGGATAGGTTGTAGGGAAAGCGAGGGTGGTAGGAGGAATGTGGAGGTGGGATTGGGCCTCTGAGGTGGCTGTGGCTGGAGGCTAGCTCCACCACAACCCCGGGGCCAGGCAGGGTAAGGTGGAGGCCTCGCCAGGGCCTGGCCCTCTGGCTGGAGCTCTGGGACACAGGTAGTTTCTGTAACTTGGGATCTGAGTTACATGCCTTCTGCCTGGGCCGGAAGGAAGAGCCGGGGACATTTGACTCTTCTGTGGGTGTCTCCTTGAACCTGAATCTGGTGGTCACAGGGGCGCTAAGGACAGAGGGGGTGACCTGTTTGCCCTTGGTTTTTTTGGAAGTCATCTTAGGGCTGGAGACTGTGGTATGGAGGGAATTGCAGGGCTCCTCCCTGTCAGTGGTGGTTTCAGCCAACTTGGAGTTCGGAGAACTTCGGCGACCTGCCAGTGGCGGCTCAATGAAGTCAGACGGTAGCTCTGAAGTGCCCTGGAAGTTGGCAGGGAACAGAGGGCAGCCATCACGGCGGTAGGCACCACTGAGCTTGTCCACAGCCTGGCTGACCACGCTCTGCAGGGCAGGGAAGAGCTGGTGCTTGGCCAGGAAATCCAGGGTGTGATGAGGCTCTCGGAGGGAACAGTAGCCAGGCAGGTTGAAGGATGACAGCTGACTCAGTCGAGACTTGAGCTCCTTGTTGAACTCTCGCCTGAGAAAGATCAGCTCCTGCTCTCCAGGTCCCAGGTCTGATGCTTCAGGTATGTCTGAACTTGAGCCCAAAAGCCCTGAGAACCAGGACAGGGGCTGCTCCCGGTTCCCCAGGCTGCTGGTCTGGCTGTCCAGGGAGTCCCACGGGAGGGAATCCCTCCGGGAGCAGGACTGACTCAGGCCTTTCTGCAGAGAGAGGACCACTCTGAGAAGTGTCCAGGAGTAGCCAAGCCAGACCTGACCCTGACCTTGGGCAGGGGTCTGTCCCACCCAGCCCCAGCCATGGCCACAGATCTCACCCCTTTGTTCTCCAGCCTCAGCAGTCGCTTGAGGTTCTTCTCCAGCAGGAGCTTGTCCCTCATAGGTGGCAGTGGGCCTAAGCCATGAGCACCTAGATCACTGTCACGGCTGTGGGAGTCCAGGCAGCCAGCCATGAGGCTGCTATGGGAGTCAGACATGGAGCTGGAGCAGGATGGGTAGTTGTTGGGGCGGCCCACGCAGAGGCTGGGCTGAGCACGGTGCCGGCGCACAGTCTTGAGGTTGGGCCGGGCATGCACCCGGTGCCTGACGCTTGGCATCTCCATTGGGTCCTGCACCTCCACCAGTGGCAGCCCAGCCTCTGTTTTCATGGCAGCCATGCGCTCAGCTGCCTCCTCCACCACCGTCTGCAGGCTCTCCAGCACTTGGCCCTCAGTCAGGAAATCCAGGAAGCTGCCAAAGGGCTGAGGGGCCGTCCTCTTTTGGCGGTGGCACCGGAGCACTGAGCTGGCATACGTGGATGGTGAGTGTGGCTCATGGCCCAGCTTGAAAGTTGGCCCCATGTCCAGGAACACTGATTTCTTGGGTGGCGGAACCTGAGCAGACAGGCAGTCATAGTGGGCAGGGATGCCCTGCAGGTAGAGGGGTCCCTGGGGCCTTCCATGGTGCCACTAGGAGCTGGGTGTGAATGGTGGAAAGAACTGCAGTTTGGAGTCAGGCAGCCCTGTGTTGGACGCCAGCTCTGCCTCTGCCACCTTCAGGCTGTGTGGAAATGTGCACAATGGCCCCCTTTGGGGTCCAATTTTCTTATCTGAAAAGTGGGGATCTATTTAGGGTCTGTTTGAAGTTTCCCTGACATCACAGCTGTGGAGTCTAAAAGCCTGTTTCTGCCCTCACAAGCATGGACTGGCAAGGAAGAAAGTCCTCCCAGTCTCTCTCTACTTCCTCATCTGTCCATGCAGCAGGTTAGCTGTCTCCATTGCTGAGCTACAGAGAATACCTGAGGTCTGGAGACCTGCACTACTCATGTCCACTTCTCTGACTTGAGCTATAGGCCAGCTCCATGCTCCCACTCTGGGTTCCCAGACCACCCAAGCACCTCCTGGGTCCCTGGAAGTCAGGGAGACACAAGAGTGAAACTGAGGGTAATCAGGGCTCAGCAGGTGGTCACAGGAAACGTCCAAGCAGTAAGGACTTCACTGAGAGGTCCAGGAAGACTGTGGTCTGGGCATCAGAATTGGTGGGGGTAGGGAACACTAGGGCGGTGAGGAACACGTTGGGGGTACCAGGGTCAGATCCTATTTGGCACACTTACCCGTGCCACATACGTGGAGTGGCCCCCCTCGTCATCGGCCAAATATCCAGAGTGGTGGCGGCAGTTAGCCATGGTGTGAGAGACCAGGCCTGCGGCCCACAACCTCTGTCTTCAATTTCACAGCACAGCTGCAGACTCTTCTCTGTGCAAGGTGGAGAGACGAAGTGAGGGTCTGTCCAGGTTTCCAAGGATCCATGTGTCAGTAGCCCCGGGGCTCTCGCTTCCCTCACCCCACCTCCTCTCTCTGCTGGGAGCCCCCTAGGCATTTGCAGACAGTGTGATTCTACAATCATCGGGGTGGGGTCGATGAGGACGTCACATGTTTTCCCCGCCCAAATCTGGGTCTGAGTGTGTCCGACCCTCCCTCCTTCCATACCCAGGGCGCCGTGGCGTCCGCCCCCAGGCCTAGAGCAGTCGCAGGATTCACCAGATGACCCACCTCGCTGCGCGCCAGCCCGCGCGGTGTGCGCCCGCACTAGGGCGGCGGCACAGTGTGCTGGAGCGGCCAGGCGATCGCCCTGCTTGCTCATTTGCATACTGTGTCGTCGTTGGTTCGCAGCCGACGGCTCACCCAGTAGCTTCTCCGACACAATGGTTGGGGGCGTGGCCCATATGGCTCCTCCCCTGCTTTGGTGAGCTCAGCCCCACCTACATTCGCCCTAGAGCTGGGAGCTGGGGATGCTGCTAACCAGGCTCAGCCCTGTCAGGAGGAGCCGGAAAGCGGCGGCTGGACTCTGCGATCCGCACCTGCTCTGAGGAGAGCCTGAAAGCCAAAGCCACAGCCTCTACCAGTGACACAAGCACCTTCCTCGGTTCTTCCCTGGTCTCTGACTGCTCCTTTCCAGGGGTCTCCTAGCCTCTTCTAGAGCGGACAACCCAAGGTCTGTTTTCAGACCACTTTCCTGTTTCCCTGAGGGTAACAGATTGGCTCCAAGTTACAGACTTAGCTTCATTTCCTGGCTCTGCTATTCCTTGCCACAGGGACTCAACCTCTCTGAGCTTGTCTCCTCATCCGGAAATGGGGTTGAGGGTCCTTCCACGTGGGAGTAAGGGGATTAAATCTTCATACAACACAGCTGGTATCCCTACAGGCACTTTACGTCCTTTCCCTCCTTTTTCCCTCCACGCAGTAAACTATCATGGAATATCCTACCATGGGATCACCTTAGAGAAACCTTTCCAGAAAGCCTCCCAACCTTCCACAGAATTCATAGTGAACTGCCGCATCATGCTGTTACTTAGTTGTCTACCAGATGTCTTCAGGACCCTTACTCTCCAGTATTGTCAATGCCTGCATCCACTAGGTGCCCAATAAATGTCAATTTCCTCTTTCCACCTAACCAGGGGTGGTGGCAGCGCCTGTAGTCCCAGCTACCACGGAGGTCGGGACAAGAGGATCCCTGAGCCCAAGAGTTTGTGGTTGCTGTGAGCTATGGTGTCATAGCACTCTACACTGGCAACAGAGTGAGACGCTCTCCCCCCGCCAAAAAAAAAAAAAAATTCCTCCTAATTGAAGACCCTCGAGGCCTCTAGCAATTCCAAGACCAACTTCCCAGTGAATGGTTGAAGTCTGACAATTCAACAATCATGAATCATGAATCATGTGATTGAACATGACAGTCCTTATACAAAGAGCGTGGTTGAAGGACTCTGTGGCCTCCAATCCTTATCAAGACCCATGAGGTATTATTTGTTATTATTCCCAAGCTCTGCTGCTGCCAGGACCACAATTCCTCTCTCTGAGCCCTAGTTTCCTCATCTGTAAAACAGACATGACATTTACCAAGCCGATAGGATGGATGCGAATACCACACTTTCCATAGGGAAAAATCAAGACAACCACATTCAGTGAAAATGGGCTGTCAACTTGGTGACTATTTGTATGGAAGCTTTTGTGAAGTTTTTACAAAGGGAAAAGTTGCAGCCTGGCACAGAGCTTGAAATGAAGGGTTAATGCTTTCTCAAATGAGGCCATTGGTGTATATGTTTTTAATTTTCTTATTGTCAAGAAAAAAGTTAACACCTCAAGGCAAAGTCTCCCCTTAGAGAATATCAGTAAAATACCAAAAAATAACTTGGAAAAGTTGATGCCCTTTATCTTCTCAAAACAACACAAAAAAACTTTTGGGTTGGGGAGAAGAGGAATTGGGTGACTATATTTGCTTAGAGGAAACACTGGAATGACACAATCCAGAAAGTTAACCATGGTGATCTCTGGAGTAAGAGACTTTTTTTTCTTTATCTTCTTTATCTTCTCGCGCCGCGTGTGGGTGTTTCCTGCTAAACCCCACTCTTGCAGTAAAGGAGTTTGTGTAGGGCCACGCTGCACCGCTAGGCGGCGAGGACAAAGGCGAAGTGTAGCCGCAACTGGGCGTGTGCGTCGGAGCGCCGCCTAGAGCTGCGTCCAAGGGCGGGGCCTGAACTGCCCTGCCCACTCTCCTCGGGTCGCACGCGGTGACTTGGGCTGCCATGGCCAGGCCCCGCGTGCGGCTGGTGGTAACCGCGGACGATTTTGGTTACTGCCCGCGGCGTGATGAGGGCATCGTGGAGGCCTTCCTGGCCGGGACCGTGACCAGCGTGTCCTTGCTGGTCAACGGCGCGGCCGCAGAGAGCGCGGCAGAGCTGGCCCGCAGGTGAGAGGCGGCCCCCCGCAGGGTCCGGGCGTCCTTTGGGGGCCTGCGTTCCGCGGCCGTGCGTGCTCCTGTTTGCGCTCCGCCCGCAGGTACAGCATCCCCACGGGCCTCCACGCCAATCTGTCCGAGGGCCGCCCAGTGGGCCCGGCCCGCCACGGCGCCTCGACCCTGCTTAGCCCCGAAGGTTTCTTCCTCGGCAAGATGGGTTTCCGGGAGGCGGTGGCGGCCGGAGACGTGGCTTTGCCCCAGGTGCGGAGAAGGCGCGGCTGCAGCTAGATGCTTTCTTTGACTCCCCCCGCCCCCGAGGGTACCGTTGAAGCCTTGGGGGCAGGAGTTGGCGCCGAACGCTTTCCTCATTCCAACCCTGGAGCAGTCACGCCGCACAGAAGCACGAAAGCTCTGGGTGTGGGCTCCCGGACTTTAAGAATGTCAATCGTTCTCTCTAGGTTCGGGAGGAGCTGGAGGCTCAGCTAAACTGCTTCCGGGAGTTGCTGGGCAGGGCTCCCACTCACGTGGACGGGCACCAACACGTGCACGTGCTCCCAGGTAGGTGGACTGGGGCTCCCAGGTCGGGAAAGGCCGATGCTCCCAGGTGAGGGGACGTGCGCCTGTCTCCCTGAGCTCGCTTCGCCCGCAGGCGTGTGCCAGGTGTTCGCCGAGGCGCTGCAGGCCTACGGGGTGCGCTTCACACGCCTGCCCTTGGAACGCGGCGTGGGCAGCTGCGCGTGGCTGGAGGCCCCGGCGCGCGCCTTCGCCTGCGCCGTGGAGCGAGACGCCCGGGCCGCCGTGGGTCCCTTCTCCCGGCACGGCCTGCGGTGAGGCACCTCGCTGGCACCCCAACCCATCACCTGTTCCGGGTGCTTCCCTACCTTCTCCTGGCCACCTGTTTACGCTTCTCAAGCAGGAAGCGCCCCGCCCCCAACCTAGCCCCGCCCACTGCCCAGTCCCGCGGCTGATGCCCTGGCACCCGCAGGTGGACAGACGTCTTCGTGGGCATGAGCACTTGCGGCCGGCACATGTCTGCTCATCGCGTGTCCCGGGCGCTGGCGCGGGCCCTGGAAGGTATCCCGACAGGCCACGCCCTGACAGCTGAGCTGATGGCACATCCCGGCTACCCTAGTGTGCCTCCGGCTGGGGGCTGTGGGGAAGGGCCTGACGCATTCTCCTGCTCTTGGGAGCGGCTGCACGAGCTGCGTGTCCTCACTGCACCGACGCTGCGGGCCCGGTTTGCCCAGGAGGGCGTGCAGCTCTGTGCCCTCGACGATCTGGACTCCAAGGGGCCTGGGGAGGGGGTGCCCTGTGAGGCCCACTCTGGAGCCCTTCCTGGAGCCCTCCCCATCTTGACCCCTACAGAGAGCCAAGCAACGATACCCTTTAATGCCCAGGAAGGGGGCCAGGATTAAGCACTGGCACAGCCCAGAACCAGGCTCTTGAGCAGGGTCTGTAACTAGCCTGGGTGAGACACTGCTACTTCTATGCCAGGACCTCATGACTCAGAGTGGCATCCAGAGCTTGGGCAGCCCTTCTTGGCTGCAGGTGGGCCTAGCCTGTAACATCTGGGCCTAGGACCTGCAGAGCAGAACCTGTGGTGCCCCTTCGCATTGCAGTGTAAACACTTTCATTGTTTAGAGGAAGTGGGGAAGAGATTGCTTTATTAATTAAAAAAAGTGTTTTTGAAACTTGGGTGGTTTATAAAGTGTAACCAAGCCTTTACAGAAACAAGAATAGACAGAGCAACTCCCTCTTGGCTCAGCGCAAGTCAGTATTTCAGAACACATATGCAAAACATTCTGGTTGTGTTCATGCTTCGTTTTTTTTTTTTGTAGAGACAGAGTCTCACTTTATCACCCTCAGTAGAGTGCCGTGATGTCACACAGCTCACAGCAACCTCCAACTCCTGGGCTTAGGCAATTCTCTTGCCTCAGCCTTTTGACTAGCTGGGACTACAGACGCCCACCACAACGCCTGGCTATTTTTTTGTTGCAGTTTGGCTGGGGCTGGGTTTGAACCTGCCACCCTCAGTATATGGGGCCGGCGCCATACTCTCTGAGCCACAGGCGCCACCCATGCTTAGGTTTTATTCTTTTTTAAGAGATGGGTTCTCTGGCTCGGCGCCTATAGCTCAACCGGCTAAGGCGCCAGCCACGTACACTTAAGGTGGCGGGTTCGAATCCCCAGCCCGGACCCGCCAAACAACAATGACGGCTGCAACCAAAAAATAGCCGGG